GTCCAGGGTCCACCAAAAAGTCGCTGACCACCAGCAGGCACGCCAGCAGCCGCCGCTCCCGCCCGGCGCCCCCGCTGCCGCCTACCCCTCCCCCTGCGCCCCCACCGCCGGAGGCGCGCGCCAAGCAGGGCACGAGCAGCGGCGCCGCAGCGGCGGCGCTCGCCCGGTACACGCCACGCGGCGCCGACGAGAGCAAGGCAGCCGTCGACAGCGCAAGCCCGTACTGCAGAGCATCCAGCCTCGCATCGACGCCGTTGCCACTTTCGCCAGCTGTGCCCGCGGCTCTTGCCGCGGCCGCCGCCGCGGCCGCCGCGGCCGAGCGCTCGTTCAGAGCGCCAAGCGCCAGCAGAAACGCCTTCTGCTGCCACAACGGCCGCGAGCGCGCGCGGCAGGCGCGGGCGTCGACGCGCCAGGCCTCAGGGCCGCCACCATCGGACAGCAGCACCTCAAAAAGCTGCGCCACGGCCTCCGCCACCCACAACACGGCCCCGCCGCCGCCGTCCCCGCCGCTGCCCTGAACGGGGCTGCCGGCTGCACCCGGCAGCAGATCGAGCGCGAGGCTCGCCAGCTCGCGCCACGCGTCACTCCGAAGCATCGCCAGGCCCCGAGCCATCCAGGCAACGCACGAAACGCCCGCCAAGACCGTGCCCGCCGCTTCCACAGTCGATGCCGAGCCTGCCCCCGCCCCGGGACCCGCCCCCGCCCCGTCCTGCTGCTGGCGCCGCTCCTGCTGCTGCAGCGCCGCCGCCGCCGCCGTGATGGCGGGCAGAAGCATGTCTCTGGTAAGCGCGAGGGCAAAGTTCTCTGCGCCTGTGGCCCCGCCGGGCGGCTGCCACTTATTCAACAAAGCCCCAAGCGCCACAGCCGCAGGCCGCCGCGCGGCGCCTGCACCAGCGTCAAGCGCGACGCGCGCGAGCGCCTCTGCCGCGCCAGAGATGCTGGCGCCGCGCAGCAAGTCTGGGCGGACGCCGATCAGCAGCGCCGCCGCCAGGGCCGCATCAGCGGCGCCGCGCCCACCGCCGCCCACCCCACCATCTATCTGCAGCGTGGTGGCGGCCGCCGCTGCCCATTCGCAGGCGCTGAGCAGGAGCGGCGCCTGCGCGTCGGCGCCGCATCGTGCCGCCAGCTGGCTCAGCAGCAGCAAGGCGGGCTGTGTTGTGGCATCCTCCCCGCCGTCTTCGCCCCAAAGCGCCCCCGCCGCCGCCTCGCCTGCGCCTGTCGCTGCTGCCGTCGTCGGCTCGCCCGTGGCGCGGCCGCCACTGTGCCGCTGCCGCAGCGCATGGAGGAGCTGGGCCACCATGTCTGCCGCTTGCGCGGCCTGCCGCGGCGGCAGGTCAAGGGGCAGCTGCGCCAGGGCGTGGCGGTGGATGGACTGGAGATATTGCAGCAGCAGGGCCTGCGATATGTCGATTTGGGTGTGGCAAGCACAAATGGTCACGTCAGTGCATTCAGAGGATTGAGTTGGGGTGCGTTGAACGTAGAAGCTTGCATCGAGGGCTTGAGAGCTCCAAGGCAAGTTGTATTGACAAACCAGCAAAATTTGTTTGCAAGTTGCGAGAAGCCCCGTGCGGCCGGCTGGAGTTGCCCCACGCGCGTTCACAGCAGCTGTTGACCAGATCAAACCAGAGCGCGCACAGGCGCTGGGCTGCTCCCCCTCTGCAGGGGCCCAAGGCTGCCATTGCGTCGCCTCAATCATGACATCACCTGCTGATCTGGCGCCCCCTGCTCCCAAGCCGCAAGCCCCTCCACCACCAGCGGCTGCAGCCACGCCAGCAGCTGCCACGCGCCCCCGTGCTCGCCGCCCGCCAGCAGCTGCAGCACAGACAGCGCGCGCGCCGCCGCCGGCGACCGCAGCGCCGGCAGGAGCTGCGCCTCGACGCACGCGGACACCGCCGCCGCCACGCTGCCGTCTGCTGCCGCGGCGCTGCCGCTCTCTGCGCTCGCCAGCTTCTCCAAGGCCGCCATCGCCTCTGCGGACGGCGCCACTCGCCGGTCCCAGTCCAGCCACAATTCAACAGTGGGCTCGTCGTCACTCGAGCCATCTGTAACAGCAGTTGGCCCCGTGTCACCACCCCCGCCAGGCAGCCGCAGCGCGTGCTGCACGAGCCGCGCCAGCGACTCCCGCAGCTGCGTCGCCGGCAGCCGCAACGACCCGCCCGCCTCGAGCAGCAGCAGCTGCAGCCGCAGCCGCAGCGCCCAGACCCTGGCCTGGGCCGCCTCGCCGCCCCCGGCGACGCCGTCCGCCCCCGCCTCGCCTGCCGCGTCCACGCGCCGATCGAGCAAGGACAGCAGCGCAGCGACGCGCGGCGCGCGCTGCTGAAGCGGGTGCGGCGCCCCAAGGTCGCCCGCTCGGGCCTCGGGCGGCGCCGAGGCCACTGCGGAGAGCACCGCGTGCAGGACGGCGAGGCCGCCGCCGAGCGTCGCGCCGGCCGGGTCCAGCGGCTGCACGGGCGCGCCGTAAGCGCCGGCGGCGGGGCCTGCGGCCGTGGGCTCCGGGCCGAGCAGGGCGACAAGCAAGGGGTCGATGATGGCTGTGCAGGCGCCCGCGCAGCCGAGGGGCCCGGAGGCCGCCACCTGGAGTGGTTGGGTGGGTGGAGGATGGGGACGGGTGTCGTCGGCCACCGCTGGGGCCATGGGCAGAATAGTAAGCAGCTGCCTTGCACCTGCGGAAGCTGGTCGGGCCAGCTGTTCTGCCAGCATATATTGACGCCTCATCAGTCATCAAAGCCGCGGCACAAGGCACATGCCACCTCCACCCGGCCGCGGGCTGTCCATGAGGGCGCTCCCTCGCGCGCGCTGCCATCATTTCGACCAACAGAGCCCCGACCCACCGCGCCAAGCGCGTCGGCGATGCACGCGAGCCGCCGCGCCGGCCGCCCGCGCAGCGCCGCGAGCGTGCCCCCAGCACTTGCGCCGGCGCCAGCGCCGGCGCCAGCGCCGGCGCCGGCGCCCCCGTCAGGATTACTGATGGCGAGGTACCGCTGCAGGTCCTCGAACGCCACGTCAGCGAGCGCGGTCCCGTCCAGCTGGCCGGGGCCAAGGGCAGCCGCGCAATCGCGCAGCGCCGCCGCGGCGCGCCGGGCTGCTTCGCGGGCCTCGTCCAGGTCATCCTCAGGGCAATCCTCCAGGGTGGCCGGGGCCAGCAGCTCCTGCTTCAGCATGAGCCAGACCTGGCGCGATGTGATTGCGGTGCGCGGGGCCATTGCTCAGGGGGGTCGTGCGGGCGGCGACGCGGGGGTGCGGCGGGTCGCGGGGGGTCGAGGGCGCCGTTGCGGAGCGCGGTTTGCAAGCGGGGTGATTGGGCGGTGCTGGTGGCGGCAATACAAGGGACCCCTTGATGGTGGATTGGCAGGAGGACGGCGACATGGCAACGGTGTGCTGTACCCCTGTGTCTGGGGCCCCTGGCCCTCCCCAGCTTGTATCAGGCCCCCATCACACACGCACAGACGCGCGCACACACATGCGCGCGCACCTGGCTAAGGTGATCGGCCATAACGCCAGGCCCCCAGCCGCGGCAGCACAGGGGAAGCGCGTCCAGAGAGTCCACCTTTGATTCGCTGCGGCGTCATCGCAGTCGGGTATGAGTGTGGGGTGGGGAGGTACAGATCCCGAGTCGGCGCGCGGCAGGGCAACTGACAGGAGCATGTGTGCGCCGCCTGCGCGTCTTGCCGGTGAGCAGCATGCAGCATGATACATGCCCTTGCCACATGCTTATTTGCGCACACATTTTGCAGCGACTGCACACACACTCACACAAGAGCTCGCACACAGCTCGCACACAGCACACCAACCTCACACAGACCAACATATCACATGCACTCCTCCAACTCACTCATGCAGCTCGGCAGACACACACGCGAACGCCGCATCACATGTGCGTTCCCAAATCAACGCACCTGAGAGTGGACCCCAGCTTCTCCGCCAGCAACGGCAGCGCCAGCCCAGCAAACTCGGGCGCCGCCGCCATGCAGCCCGCCACCGCGTCCGCCAGCTGCCGCCGCGTGATGGCCTGCGGGTCCCCTTTCTTCGGCGTGAACCTCACCGGGAAGTAGGGCTCCACCGCGACCTCGAACAGCTCGGCGGCCTCCGCCTCGAATTCCCCGCGGTGGCGGCCGCACGACGGCGAGCCGTACACCGCGCACGCGGCGCGCACGCACGCAAAGGCGAGCAGCAGGCACCGGGGGTCGTTCTCGCCCTCGACCAGGGCGGCAGTCCTGGCCGCAAGATTGAGGCGGCCATCCAGCACCAGGCGCTCGCCGTAGCCCTGGGGGTGCAGGTGGGGCCGGCCAAGAATTCCCAGGTTCGCCCGTCCCTTGCTACGCGCCGCGTCAGCGCAGCGCACAGGAAGTGCGCAGGCAAGCAGCTGGCGCGAAGCTGCCACGCACATACAAGCCACACCGGTGGACAAGGGCCCACCATCGCCATCCCCTCCTCGTGCCACACCTGCAGCAGCAATAGCCACAGCTGCAGCCCTGTCTGCCGCCCGGTCACTGTCAGTGCCGGCAGCTGCACGCTGGCCGCGAGCGCCTGCGCAACGCGAACCGCAAGCGCCGGCTTGGCCGCGATGGCGGCGCCGCTGCTGGCGCCGGTCAGCAGCTTCAGGCAGCCCTCCAGCGCAGCCTTTGCGCACGCCCTGGGTGGTGGCCAGCATGCGAGTCGTGGCGGGGAAGGGATATGGCTCCAAGGACGCTAGACGCACAGCACAAGAGGAGTCCCGTGGGCATGTGCGCATGGCAGTTGTCAAGAAGCTATCTCACTGTATGAAAGCGATGGGTCAAGAGGGTATGCTAGGGAAAGCAGCCACAGGTTGCTGCCTTGTTGGGTGCGGTACCCACCAGTCCTCCAGCTTGCTGCAGAAAAATCCTGTCAGGTGATCCACCTCTGGTGGCTGCAGCACGGCGTCGCCTGCAGCCTGAAGTGAGCGCGTGTGTGTACACAGGGGCACGTTGCAAAGTGACAAGCTGCTCTACAGGTTTGGATGTGCACTGGCGCGGCGGCGTGCTCGGTGCGTTCGACATCCAGTTCGCGGGCACCCCTGCCTTGCACACCTCACCACGCAGCCGCCAATATCCAACATATTTGCTGCGCACCCGCACGACCAGTTGCACCGCCCGACAGCGCAGCTCGTCATCGTCTGCATCTGTCAGAGGTTCCCTGAGGGCAGTGACCTAGGCGGTGAGCAAGTGCAGGCAGGGGGAAGCGCGCGTGGTGGGCGCAGGGCAGCAATTGAAAAGCGGCGGGGTTGTGTCATCAGGGACGGCGAATCAGCGGGGCTTCTGCTGACCTGATGTATTCCATGCATTACTCTTATCAGTATGCGACCAATCCTGTGGCGAACAGGCTCACCAGCTGCACGAACGGGACCCCAGCCTTTAGCTGGGCCACGATCTTATCAGCCAGGTCCCTTCTTTCTCCTTCTTCTGCATCTTCTCTTATGTACTGCAAGGCCCAGGCCTCCAACATCGTAGCCTGCGGTGATCTTCAGCCCCGCGCTCTGATCTCAAAGACACTTTACATCAATGATGCTGGAAATATTATCACAGCTTCATGCAGTAACTGCGCACTATGCAATCGTGGGCCATGCTCCTGTACATAGTCACCTGCAGTCACCATGGTGACGTGGTCCACGTGGGAGCCGTTTCCTCACAACCTCTTTTCAAAGGTGATGCACTGCATGGGGCTCACTGAGCCTGCAAAATGGTTCATTACAACCCCCAAAGACATGCTCCCGTTCAGCTAGAGCTGGCATGCCTGTCGTCAGCTTCCGGCACCTCACCCCCGCCATCCACACCCCCCCCCTTTTCCCACCCCTCCGCCAAAGCTCCACCACCGCCCTCTCTTCTTCGACACAAAGGCACAGGTGGCGCGTAATAACACGTGTGTGCCGGCTTTTAAAAAGCGGTGGCAGCGCCGGGCAATGCAGTGCGCTCGTTTCCATGGTCGACACACTGCACCAGCACATTTCAAGCTAGCAGCTGTGCAGGACTGCGCAAGCCCCAGCTCCATTTCACCTCTCCAATGGACCACGTGAGTGGAGAAAATTTGAGAGACGAAACGCACATATACACAAGTCTGGCACTCCGACATGTCCAGGTCCACTGATGAGAACAACTGCTCAGTCGTCAAACGTGACCTGGCGGCGGAGAGCCAGCGATGCAGGAGCCATGTCGGTGGAGAGGTGACGGACGCGCAAGCACGCGCCCTCCCAAAGTGAGTGAGCATGAAGCAAGCGGCGGCGCCATGCATGCGGGGCGTTCATGAGGTTGCGTGCGGGGATGTACTTGAAGCCGCGCCGGCCCCTTCCTCCCAACCCCTTTGTTTGTCTTTGAAAGCCTCACCTTTGTTGCCTTCTTGCTCAGGTCAACGTCCTTGAAGTGCGCCCCATACAGCTTGTGCTCCTATGTGCAGGGGGAATTATGGCAAGGGCTCAGCCAGCAGGGGGCGATTGCCGCACGGGGAGCCAACCAGCCAGCCAGGCGCCACTTCCTCCCGCACCGAAGGTACACCAATTCTAAAACATGGAAAGAGAATACAAGTCCTGTGAAGAACAAGCCACGCCACAAAAGAGCCCGCCGCCCGCCCGTGAGGACAAGGCTTGATGTTGTGCAAAGCATCCTCAGCGCAGGGGGCAGCGGCCCCGCCCCGCTGGCACACCGCCTTGCCACACCTTCTTCTTGACGGTGGTGCCAAACTTGAGCAGCTCGTCCGGCACGGGCTGCCCCGCCTCCCGCAGCACGTTTATGAGCTCCCCCGCGCGTGGCTTGTCCGCGCCCGCCGAGAAGAAGGTCACGGCGCGGCCGGTCTTGCCGGCGCGGCCGGTGCGGCCGATGCGGTGGACGTAGTCCTCGATGGTCAGCGGAAACGAATAGTTAATGACCACCTGGCGGGGGGCGCGTGCGATGGCGTCATAGTGATAATCATGCAAGGACGGGGCAGCATACGCGTGGGTTGACAGGACTAAGCGGTCAAAAAATCGAAACTCAGACAGGAGGCTCCAGGGCTGAGATGAGACGACGGCTCTGTCCTGGCGTCCAGAAAGGTCCCCTAGGCCATGCCAGCAGTGTGGCCAGCTGCGCACTGCTGCCCCCCTATTGCTGCAGCAGCTGCCCCCAACACCAGCGCCCCCTCACACACACACACACCTCGACGTCCGGGATGTCCAGCCCCCGCGCCGCCACGTCCGTCGCGATCAGCAGCGGGATGGTCCCCGCCTTGAACGCCTCCACCGCCGCCGTCCGCTGCGCCTGGCTGATGTCGCCGTGGATCGCCGCCGCGCTCCAGCCCTTGCGCTTGAGCAGCGCCTCCACGCGCGGCGCCTCCTTCTTGTAGAGCACGAATATGATGATGCGGTTCTTGCGGCTGGAGTGGTGCTGCTGCAGGAGCTGCTGCAGGCGGTCGTCGCGCTTGGCCGGGTCGATCACCTCGACAGACTGATTGTGTGTGTGGAGGGGGGGCGGGTGGCGTGTTGGAGAGGACGGGTCAATGCAAGGGGTTGATGAGGCGGGATTGTATGGCAAGAGGGGTGGAAGGGTTGTTCAAAGGTTGGTACAGGGGGAGGTGCTTCGCTGTGCGGCGTGGGTCAGAAGGCGCCCAACGGGCAGGCAACCAAACGCAACCAGGCGGCTGTGGTAAGGGAGTTGCAGCATTCACGTGTGGGGGCAAAGCGCGAGTGGGGGTCCACCGCGTCCTGCGGCTTCCAGGCAGCTGCGTGGGTAGGGCCGCACCCCGTCGGAAGGACGAAGACCTCTACGACAGGGCGCGGCCCGGCAGCCTCCAACATGGGCCGTGCAACGGCGGCCACGGGCCACACGCAAGGGCAAACCCATCCCCTAGCCCGCAATCTCACATACGAAACGACCCCCAGGTTGCCTCCACCTTGTCAACGCGCCTGATATCTGCAAACCGCCACCACCAGCGTGCTTGGACCCCAAAATTGCACATAAAACTATTCCAAATTGCAGTTGCCCCCCACCTGCGCGACACTGTGGCTGGCCGCCAGCTCCAGCGACCCCACCGTCACCTTGACCGCCCCCTCCTCCGCCAGGAAGTTGCTCGCCAGCTGCTGCACCGCCGTCGGCCAGGTCGCGCTGAACATGAGCGTCTGCCTGTCCGCGCGGACAGTCTGGCAGATCTTGCGGATGTGGGGCTCAAAGCCCAGGTCCAGCATGCGGTCCGCCTCGTCAAGAACAAGGTAGGTCACGTTCTGCGCGGCGCGGGGGGAAGAGGGGGGGAGACGTCAGGCGCGCGCAGCGGGCGCACGCGTCGAGGACCAGGACAGGCGCGGCGACGGCTTGCGAGGTGGGGCATGTGTGTGCCGCTCGGTCGAGCCCCAAGGCGGATGTGAATGCATCTGAAATGCCATAAATCTTAATGCCTTGGCCTGGGCTGGTCCCGCAATGACCTGCGACTGCGTTCGCCCCTGCGCTGGGCTCTCTAGCCTGAACGGCACGCTCCCAGCTGCCCCGGCTCCCCACCCCCTGCTTCGGCCCCAGCACCTGAGCACGTGCAGTCCCCCGCCCAGGCCCTCAGATCCCTTATAACGCGCCCAGCCGCGCACCGTGAGCCGCGCGATGCTGTCCTCCATCAGATCCTCCAGCCGCCCCGGCGTCCCCACGATCACCTCCACGCCGCTCTTCAGCGCCGCGATCTGCGGCCCCTTGGGCACGCCGCCGTACACGCAGCAGCAGCGCACGCCGCAGCGCGCGCCGGCGTCCTCCAGGACCGCCGCGATCTGCAGCGCCAGCTCGCGCGTCGGCGCGAGCACGACGGCAAACGGCCCCTTCTTGCCGGCCGACGCGCCGCCGGGGCGCTTGTTGGCCGCGATGTGGGCCATCATGGGCAAGCCAAAGCCCAGGGTCTTGCCTGAGCCGGTCGCGGCGATGCCGATCAGGTCATAGCCGGACAGGACGATGGGCCAGCACTGGGATTGGATGGGAGACGGCGCCACAAAGTCGCGCGTTGAGTGCAGCAGCTCCGGCCCGAGGCCGGTCTGGTCGAACGACAGCACGGGCGCGAGGCCGCAGCCGTCGACAGCCATTTTCCGCTCCTCGCGCGCGGCCGCGGCCTGCGCGGGCGACATGGCCGCAACATCAGGGTGCTCCTTGTACAGCGCCTTCAAAATGGGGGCGCTGCTGGCCGCGAGCGCCGCGTCGCCGACGGCCGCGAGGGAGCGGGGCGGCTGCTGCTTTTGCTGCTGGTGCTGCTGCTGCTGCTGCTGCTGCTTGGGGGCCTTGGCCTTCTTGGCAGGCTCGGCGTCTGTGTTAAAGTTGCGGGGTGGTGGCGACATCAGCGTGTTGCGTTGACAGAGGGGAGCTGGCATGAATGGACAGGGCAGACGGACTCAGGGAAGAGAGCCCGTCGCTCATGGAGGCGATTTGGGGTGGTGAGGGAAGTCTACGTGGATACGCCTCACCCCGCCCCGGTCCCGCACCTGCTGGCTGCTGCTCCTCCCTGTCGCGCTTCGCCTTCTTTGCCTTCTTCTTCTTGCCCTCCTCTTCGACTGCGGCGTCTGCGGCGCACCGTGCGCGGCAAAGGTAACGCACCGAGCCGCATATGTCAGCTTGTATGCGATACGTGTATGTCTCAGAGCAGGCCCTGCACACAGCGTGCCCACGCGGGTGCTGGTTGAAAATTTAATTGTAAGTGCTTGCACTGCAAGCGGAAGTGTCGCATGCTGGGTAAGACCCAAAGGGTAACCGCCCCGACGGGGCTCCCCAAGGTGATGGAATCAGCAGTCGCGCGACGCCAGGAACCCCCTGGGGGGGCTCGACCGTCGCCGCGTCGCTCTGCGGCGTTGCTGCTTGGACCGTGCGCCCACAAAGGGTGGCTTGCAAAGAGCCGGGCGCTCCGCTGCAGCAGCTGGGTGGGGCACAGCCTGTGTGCCTCCCAGCCCGCCAAGAACCAACAATACACCCTTAGTGCAACCCTGCATTCACCTGCCGCCACCTGCTGCTGCTGCTGCTGCTGCTGATCCTCTGCGGCGCGTTTCTCCTTGTTCTTCTTCTTTTTCTTCTTCTCCCCTACAGCAACCTCCACGGCGGTGTCCTCGCTGTTACTGCCCGCGACGCCAGGGGTGGCTGCTTCGCTGGCCGCCGCTGCCGCCGCTTTCTTGTCGCGCTTCTCCTTCTTCATCTGTTTCTTTGCAGCTTTCAAGGCCTTAAGTTCAGCCTTGCTGAGTGCCGCTTCCCCGTCCTCGGCCATGGTGGTCATGAGCAGCGGCCGCTGCAGGTGGGGTTGGTACCGCCGAGGGAAAAACTGGGCTCATGAGGAAGGAAGTCGGCGCACGCAGCGGCGACAACAGGCGGCGGTGCGGCGGCTGAGCAGTGCGGGTCCGAGGAGCGCCGTCATGGCTCATCAAAAGTCGGATTGACCTGAATCGTGCCATACAATAGCCACAGCGGGCATCCAGTTGAGGCTCAAGAGGAGAACGATCAGACCGGCGGCAATCCCACTTGTTACTCACCACGTTATTGTTAAGACACCACGCCAACCAGTTAAAATAGCTCGTAACACCACGGATGGGCCGGCTGTGCCGTGTGGTCTCGGCGCAGCCTTGCACGAGGCTACCGCACGGCGCTGCGTTATATAAACTAAACTGTTTCCTGAAACAGGTCTCTACCGCGTCTGACCTTGTGAGTTAGCTGTCAGCAACATTTGCCAGCAGGCACAGCTTCTTTTGGGGCAGCTTCTTTTGCCTTCCAGGTTGCTCGTTGGTGCTGCCTTGTGATATGCAAACAAATGGCTGAGGAAGGCTTCAGACTAAAACAATTCACTATAGACAAAATTCCGTCGTAGCATGCAAGCATGGACGAGGGTCCGATTACCGTGGGGCTCCTGAAGGTCACCACCGTAGACACCGCACAGGGCAGATGTGGCAAGCAGCAGTGTGCTCAAAGCGAGTGGGGTCACTATGACACAGACACCTGATACGCCAGACACCCTGTTGCCAAGCGTGTGCCTTGCCCCATACATTGCAACCCGCTTGAGGGCGATTCTTGCCAGCCATGTCATACTCTTTCAAGGACACGACTGATAGATAGATAGAT